TATATATATATATATATATATATATATATAAGTTTGGTGCATCAAACAATTAAATTAATGTCATATTTTAGTTGATGTCTCCGTTTTGGCAGTGACCCAAAAAGGTTAATATGAGAAGTGTACAAACATTAATACTCATCTCTGCATGTTTTTGGTCATAACTGAAATGTCCATGAATCAAAACATATTTTTTTGCCAGCATAGAAGGGAAGCTTTCCTTCCTCATCAAGCAAGATGGGACCAAAGGTCAGAGTTCAGTTGATTGACTGGAATTTTGTGCTGCTTTGAGAAATTCCTGTTTTGTTTGTTTGCTCGCTCATGTAAACACCTACCAAGACTTTTACTGTTTGTTTTTTTTTTCACCCTCCCACTGTGGATTATTTCAATTTCATCTTCAATGTCATTGCAGAATTATGCCAGCTCTACTCTTTTGCCTGAGTGTCTGTGTTTGTTTCGTCAGCCAGCTCAGCAGGCTGGTGGCGTTTCTTTGCTGTCAGATAACATTGGTTTTTGTTTGGAGAATAATCTTGTGTATAAGTTTTCTGGATGTTTCATATATTCTTTGTGATATCTCTGGTGTACATTATATAATTGAAAAGTACATGCTTACTAGGGAGGGAAACTATACTATATGAATTTACATCTGAAGATGCTGTTTGCTCAGTTTTAGTAAAAAGATTCATACATATAGATTAACAACTGACATTTATTTCAGTTATTTATTTCAGTTGGTCATGTGATAGTAATGATGACGATGAAGGATTCTGCAGTGTTTCACTGAAGCAGAGAAGAAGTGTCAGCTGTGTGGTCATTTTCTCACTAATGCCTCAGTGATTCTTTGGCTGTCATTTTACTCACCTTTACATTCACTGAGGGTGTGAAGCTCAACGGGATCCTTTTCCTCAAGCAAACAGTTTCACTGACACATTACTAAGTGTTCTTTTTTTGAATTCATGAATAAAGTGTTGTTATAAAGCCCAGTTGGAATATGTGTAATAAGTAAAGAATAAATAGACAATATAAAGTTGCTACTGAACCAATCCAAATGACAAGGACGTCGAATAGAAATCAGTAGCAAGTTCTCAAGGTTTTATAGTCAACCATCAAAGTTGTTTTATCATGTGAAGCACTTTGAACTGCCTTGTTGCTGCAATACTATATGGATGTGACTGGTGGCAGGGAGTCTTTAAGAATCTATGCTTTACGAAATGTCCAGAAGTGTGGAAGTAAAATCAAGTTAGCTTCTGTAGTTACTTTGCTTGTGTGTGTAAAAGTACTTCAGTAGTTCAAGAGAAAGATGTCAATAATGTGTGTGGGAGCATTTCATTGCAAAGTTTTCCCATTTAATGTGAGGACCATTGTTTTCACACTCAGCTTAGTTTCATTTTGTAAATGTCCCAATCTGCAGAAGAATGAAAAGCACAATCCATCAGCAAATGCATGAATTATAAATATGCAACATCTCACAAATGTATAAATAAAGATTTATTTTCCAGACCATGCAATTTCATTTACCCAGTCCCTCTTTTACATTTCCCTTGGTCAAAAGTAGCAATAATTTATTCAAAAGGTCTATATAATGCACTACTGAAAGGCAAACTAAACATGCCTCCTCATGGTAAATATTGAAATGTTTACGTTCACATGATCCAAATTCTACAGTCTGAGGCGGTACTGCAGGAGTAGAAAAAAAAGGCATGATGTCAGCATGGCATGACAACATGGAAACACACACACACACACACACACACACGCACATTACACATGTTGGCTGCCTCTTTCACCCTTTTTTGCTGGTCAAGTTAGCAAGGCTAACTATGCATGCAGTGTCACTAACCTAAATGTAACCAGTAAACATGGCTCTTCGTGGAACAACAGTCCTCTAGTGGCCTGTACAATGAAGCAACTTCAACATATGAACCAAAAGACTAAAAATGATTCCATTATCATTTTGAGATCAGATAGAGCTGATAGAAAGACAGAGGTAGCAGAAGCTAGCAAACACTGCTTCAAAGCTGAAGTTGCTTCACCGGATCCATCCTCGATTGTTGGAAACCCGGCCCTTGAGGATTCCCATCTTCACTTTAATACCTAAACATGGTTTAGGTTTACGTGTTCAGACAGCGTACTCTTCCTGACAGGGGTCGACCGTAGTGCATTTGGTTTGATGAGGAGAAGAAAACCACCATGACCTGTTCAGTGCAAAGTTACCAGCTTGATTGTTTTCAGTCAAGACAGGAAAAGGACCAGTTACTTCCTTCTATGTGCTTCATCTTTAAGGCAAAGGAACATTCAAACAAATTAACATAGAATAAATGAATAAATACGTGCATTTATTTAACTGAAATAAACTTTAGCAACAATGTGTTGTCCTATCTTTGTTTGCCATTAACAATATACAGACCCTCCAGTACATTCAATGAAGAGGTATTGCTTGAACCAAATCATCATTAAAGATTTCTCTTATAAATTGCATATAGTAAGGAAAAGATACACAATGAAATAAGGTGTTTCTCTTTAAGGGATGCAATGTGTCAAAATACTTAACATCTAGATGTACAGTAAACCTAAAACTAAACTTTTTAAATAATCCTAATGAAAAGTTTTATGCAATTTATAGTTGACCTTAAATTGTCTCAGGTTCATTAGACTGCAATAGTTTCCATGCAATGACTTTATTTCTAAACATTTCTTGAAAAGAATAACATATTTTGTTGTATTTTATAAGAGCATTACTAAGCATAAAAAAAGAATAATGATTGCTGGATGGGTTTTGTTTCTTTGGAGCGACCTCTGAAACAACACAGCTCCCATCCAAAACTCATTTCATATTCTAACGCTGTTATTCCATTCTGTTTTGAATGAAGGGCCAGACCTTAAAACAGAGGGACATGTGGAAGGTGTCCCTGTTAAAGAGACTGCTTTGTTTGGAGCGATGCATCACTGGATGTGTGAACAGTGAAGATGGTCAGCCACGGCTTCCTGTTACACGGCCTTTCAGGAGACGCTGTCCCTCTGTGACGCCTTCACTAGAGCAAACCATCAATACTGTCAATAACATCAATTCTTTCTCAGAAAACCAGATAATCATAAGCATCAAGTCTGCTCTTAGGTTATCCACCAGACAAGCCAAAAATAAACTGTATTTATAAAGGTGACCAAAACAAGTTCATTTGGTTGTTTGCATGAAAATATATAAATACTGAAACCAGCATCAGCTAAATTTTAGAAATTGATTGATCCTCTGTCGAAAAGCAAGATAAACATTCCTTATCAAGGTATTGTGGTGCATTCAGTAACACTAGACTGCACTCTGACTTTAATCCAGCACAACAAACAAACATGTCCTCTGACATGAATTTTTCTCCACAGCGTAACAAAAAGAAGAACTAAAGTTTAAAAGCCTCTCAATAAAATCAAATCTTAAAGCTACTCCAGCAGCAGGTGGCACCTGTTTATTATATTGTGTGTGTGTGTGTGTGTGTGTGTGTGTGTGTGTGTGTGTGTGTGTGTGTGTGTGTACACAGGCTGGTTATGAACAAACATCTGCAAACTTCATCAACCAGAAGGCTCTGCTTTCATCAGCAGCACCCAGTTTCTCCTCAGACTGCACTGTGCTTGAATGAAGCATTCACTCTCTCAGATGTGCAACACAGTTGTCACATCAACATGGCAGCTGCTGCTTTGTTCTGCTGGAAATGAATGAGTGAGTGAGTGAACTGTGTTGTGTTTTTACCTCCTGGGTCTACAGCTAACATGAACATGTGGAACAGTTTTTTTGCTCTGAATGGCTTTCAGGCTTTTTCACATCCTTTTAGATTTCTTTGCTCTATTTTTTGCATGTTAACATGTCCTGTACGTAGAATAAAGTGAAACAAACAACAACAAAACAAAAAGATCACTTGAGATAAAAATCTTGACATGCCATCAGTCACATATGGTACATATTAGAATCTTATATTGTTTATGTACAAGAAGCATTCAAACAAAGTGGGCTGAAGGTTAGGTCAGAGTTAGCAGGCTGACTGTCTAAATAAGGATGGCTTGAGGAAGGGAAGAACATCTGGATCCGCTTGGACTGACAAGTGGAACAGAGAGGACAGAGTTGTTTGGCTGCTTCTCAGAGAGCAAACAGACGGCCACGATGAAGGACAGACTGAGCTCAGTTCAGTTGATCCTCATACTGTTTCCGGAAACAGTCACCAGCAGGAAAAAACTCCCAGCAGCGCTCCTGGTACATCTTCCATACATAAGACTCCTTCAAGAGAAACAGACAGCATGAGAAGGATTGAATCTAATTTTAGGACTTTAAAAGGACAAGATGTAAGAAAAAAAGAATGTTCTTAGAAAATATCCACCATGAAACATATCAGTGGCTCTGAGGAATGAACTGGACCATAAATACTGAGAGCAAAATGTCCCTCAGAATGAAAGAAAAGCTGAGTGGAGAGGAGCTGCTGTACCTGGCCTGTGTGCTCAGTTTCATCTTTGTTTATCAGATACATCAAAAAGAATCTGAAACACACAAACATTTATTCCATTTATTACAGATGATGGAACGAACTGTTTACAGAAATATTGGAGTTTATCAGAAAAACCATCACTTCAAACTTAAGGGGAGATGTTACAAAAAACCAAGTTCTATTATGTTATAACGTTCATCAAAAACACACCTAAACTAATACTTTGATTCTTTCACGCATGTTTGAGAAATCCTCAAATCAAAGCTCACTGGCTTTTTTTTATTTTGATACCAAATACAGCTCATTGTTTGGAGGACCAGCCATATAAAAACTCTATAGAGTTTAACACCGACCGTCTCTGAACATGATGAGATTTACAGGTTTTAAACTCCACAGGAAGAAAGAACATGTAGGAGTCTCTCTTTGACCACCATCACATTAGAATGAGAACATGTGTTGGTTTTTACATTTCTTTACTAAATGTAAAACCTTTTGACATATTAACACTCGTATATAAATAATACCAGTAATAACTGCTGCAGTGCCTTGCCCACTGAAACTTTGGCGAAGTGCAAGGCATCAGTTCAGCTGAAGGTTCCCAAGTAGCAGCTGCACTTCAAGCTGCAATAACAGGAACAACCAATAAAAGCACAGAGGAGCCTCTTATACTCACAAGTAGTTGGCTAAGTTGTGCTCTTGTAGTGTGTGAGTTTCAAACCCATGTGGTACTGTGTCAAAATACTCATTTCCTATTCCACAGATAAAACATTTGGTCTGCAAGAAAACAAAGACAAAGGTAATAAGTTCTTCCCAACAGTTACTGATCTTCATCTCTGACTCTGCTAGCTGTTAAGCTAACATTTGCATCTGAATATCAAATAAATATTTAAATTGGTAGAATGGTGGAAAATGTGCTGGTAGCGCAAAAACAAATGTGTTTCTGGTGACTGTGTGTCTTCACCTCCATGTCTTCTTTGACTTGTTCCTGCTGGTCTCTCAGTTCACCAAAAGCATCAATGATCAAACCTAGAATTGGAAAAATCACATTTACCAGGCCAGTCAGCTATGCAGCGCTATCGCAGCAGCACATTTCAACTTGCTCCTCAATACCTCTGCAGCATTACTACTCAACAACTAAATCCAGTTGACCACAAGCAGCTGTCAGGCACTCAAAAAACTGAACTAAATAACAGGGCTGAGTGAATTCAACAACCCCATCTGTTCCTTTGCAAAGTCCTGCATCATATCAGGTTAAGAAGACATCACACATGTTCAGAAGCTTACTCAGTGAAGTAACTTAAATGGTACAGCCATCTTCATGAAGGTATTTTTGGAGCAACATGATGATGATTCCATCATGTGTGGAGATTTCTGATCTCCACACATGATGTGTATCAAACCTTACAGAAAGTCCTCACCAATCCGCCACATCACAGGATAACAGGACTATAACTCCTGTCTGGAAGGTCGGATTTTGGCCAAACTTTCAAAACTTGCCGATGAACTCGTACTGAACTGGACAGAAGGCTATTTGGAAGATTCGCCAAATGTGCCGCCTAGTGGACAGGCATGGGATTGGTGAGAAAGCATTGACAGAGACGTTTTCTCACTGCCATGTGGCGCTGAGATGGGAGGGCCGTATGAGGTTACTTGTAGGTTTAATTAGGAGTCATGTTCCACAAAAAAAAATCTGCAAATTGGACAGTGAAAGTTTTTGTGCTTTCTTATCTTCGTCATCCCTGTCAGTGTGTGTTGAGTTTTCTTTCACCAAATTACAAGTTATGATGTTCTTGTTCAGTTTTTCTCTTACTTTTGACCTCAGATGAGACAGTGCAGTGGTACCATCATTCTGAGGCATTTTGTCTATAGGAGCATATATTTGCTGTGTCTCTCACCCTGTATGATGGCCAGCAGGATTACAATGACAAAGAAGAAGAATGTAATGTCAAAGATGATCCGGTAGATCTCGTACTCATCGCCCGCAGGATCCTCAATTTGGTCGCCAATCCCTCCGCCTGCTCGAACGCCCACATACATGTGAAACATGTAACACTGGGCGAGAAATGGAGAGGAAGAAGGTGAAAGAAAAGTGTTTTTTTTAAAGTTGTTGTAGCTGTTTTGATATTTAGTCTGCAATATTAACTCTCTTCTGACCTTCAAAACACAATTCAAAACTCCTCTGTTGAAGTCAGCCTTCTCACTTTAATTTTTTTAGTGATTTTGTGGTTTTGTGTTTTATTGCTATTTTTTACTGTTTAGTTTGTGTTTTTAATGTTGTAAAGTGTCCTTTAGGTATTTGATCAAGAAGCACCACATGTTGGTTTTCATTATTTAAAGGCACAATGCACATTAATTAGCAGTATTTCAGTTCATCACTGTAGTTAAGGTGTGTAGACATACAGTAAACAAAGGAAACAGAAGTTTTTGATGTTAATAAAAGGCCAACCTTAGTAAACTATTAGCTGACAAAAAAGGGACAGAAACAATTATTTCAGTTAGTTCTCATATATATTTCAAAGGAAAAACATGTAATAAAATAGGAATTTAAGTGACAACATCTTTGCAAAGTAAGCTGGGAAACACAGGCTTAGGAATGTCGTACCAAAGATTAAACTAACAGAAAACAAAAGATCTAATAAAATAACTAAATATGAAGTATATTGGTGCATCAGTAGATGCCAAGAATGTACAGATGACTTATAAGAGGGTCTTGATTAAAGAGTTATACGTCATAATACAGGAAAGAAACTAAAAATATCTCCAAACTGAAGAGATGAAACGGAAATTAGGGAATTTTCCTCCAGGCACAAGGGAAAAATAAACAGAACAGGAAGAAAACGATCACTTCACTCCACTATACGGGGCGAATGTGGCTGTGAGGGTAGAGTCGTCGTCTTGCCTCCTGCCACATGTCGATGTGCCCCTGGGTAGGCACTTAACCCCAAATTGCCCACTGATCGGTGTATAAATGTGTGAGCGTTTGTGAGTGTGAATGGGTAAATGTGACTAGTGTAAAGCGCTTTGAGTAGTCAAAATGATTGGAAAAGCACTGTATAAGTTCGGTCTATTTATATAAACTCTGAAACCTGAGACAAGTGACTCCATGACTACAGAATTCCTCTTGTTCATCCCTCTAAGCTCCACAGCTCCTGTCACCTTACCGCGGTTCAATGCAGGCAGAGCTGCCACTATTGGCTCCTTAATAGGAACCAGTTGCTCCATCAAGTGCTACGGGTGGGTGACTAAAACGGATTAGTGTGTGTGTCCCAAAACGTCTGGGTGACACAAGGTACTTCCTAACTGCAGAAACACAAACAGGCAGATTCCTTTTTATAGTTATCTCTTAAACATGGTTACTGCCTATATGTCCATAGATTCTCATTAAAATACATAATTCTAGGGCTTTTATAATCAGAGGACACAATAGCGTAGCAGATTATCAGATGCAGAACCAGGCATGCCTGGTTCCAGGCCTGACCGCTCTGACCCCTGCTTCTCCCACCATAAATGATCCTGTTAAGACGGGCAGTAAGATACTGACTGGTTTCAGTTCCACAGCGGTTCATTGATGAATCAGGCAGAAAGCCAGACATCAGTAAAACTTATTTTTCTACAGGATTGCATTAACATATTTGACTTTCAGCACAAGTTCAGACATGATTTAAGGCCATTGGTGCATTCAATCAAAACTATGTTTTATTAAAATATGTTCAGATCTACTTCATATTTCATTATGCAATTGTAGTTTGGAGAAGTAGTAAGTGAAGTGTTTTTAGATACAATGTATCATGTCAAACATTTGTTATGTTATTGTATTTTTGCGCCATTATGCTGCAAATCTATTACATGTTCACTAAGGCTATAGTTGCCTACACACTTTTTCATTCAGCAGTTTTCCAACTTTTAGACTAAGTCATGGTCACAACCATCTTTTGACATTATGTTCTTAAAAAAAAAAAAAAAAAACTTCCACTACTTTAGATTTTCTAACTGATCCACTCCAGCATGAAATGCAGGGATTCATTTAGATGTCAAAGCAAATGTAAAAGTCACTGCAGTTGCTTCTTTTTATTCAAACTCATAACAAATACAACCAATGAAAGTGGAGATATTTATCATACTCACTGTCAACATGTCATCACACTTCATGTCTGGAAGTTCTCCATCTTCACTTTTGTTGTAAAACTTTCTAAAGAAGTTGAAGGCAACCACTGTGTAGAGGTAAACCACCACTGCTAACAGACCGACAGTGAGCACAAGCTGGAAGACAAGGAGGATGAAAACACTACTTTGATGGCCATCAGGGTCAGAAGATTTATAATTCCATGATATGGAGATTTTCATTATTGATCAACTCTAACTGAGCTGGAACGTCTGTGCTGACTTCCTGCATCCGTTTGCAAACATATTCGTCAGCACCCTGGAATAATGTAGAAAAAACATTCCTCCAAAAGAAAGAAGCAATGTTCAGGTGGTGTTTTAAAAAAAATCTGTTTTTATTTTTGCTCATGCTGCTCCCACAAGATGCCACCCTGAGCAGTTGCCCATGTCCTCCATATCAGAAACCAACAGGAAACACAGCAAACCTCCTGAGCAGAGAGTCTGCAGTCAGTGTTCCTGTTTCTACACAACACTTTAACCTCCTTTCTAGATGGAAAAATCTTTTTTTTCTTGTCACAATGTTTAATATGTTATGTTTTTGAAGAAGTTATCTATACTTGACTGAACAAGTTAAGTTTTTTGTGTGATTTTCTTGAAAACGTGAAGTTTGGTAATTCATTGATATTCATTCATTGTGAATCATTTAACTCCAAGCGAAGTTTAACATTTCCTTTACAAATAAACCCTAAACTATTAAAACTAAGCTTAAACAGCCTAAACTGAGTTAACTATAAGCTACACTAAGGTTTACACAAATAACATGTACATCACGTTGAGACATTTTATTGAAGTATTTCACAAAACATAATTAACTGCATGAAGATTAAAACTCAATCCAAGACTTTTCTAACTTTTAATTTTTAACTTCTAACTTGAAGAAATTAAATACAACTTTATTTATTGCTTCATAATAACATTAGAAGAATTTTCCTTCCACCATGCTTTGCTTAGAACAAATCATGTAAATGGTTTTATCATATCAGTGACACTTTAATATTTGTCTGTATACAAATAAATCTATTATTTTTTTGTGGTCAATCCTTCGCACTTTTTAAAGAGGCTAATATGACAAAGTCGAAGTCGAAGGTCATTATCCATAGCTGTGTGGATAATGACTGCAGGGACTCCTAGAATGACTTCTAGGGGCCTTTTAACAAACGTGTTACACACACAAACACACACAGCCTGCTTACCTGTTTGCCATTATGTGTGACTGAAGACAGGATGGTCCGCAGGGTCTTGAAGCCCATAGCAATGTCCAGCAGATGGGCAGCAAAGAAGAAGTTGTTATAGTGACCCAGGATGGACATGGTCATGTACCAGGCCAGATACAGGAAGGACTACAACAATGGGACAGCACCGTGGTTACGGACTGATGCAGGAACCACACTTATGTCATGATATAGAATTTATAAACAATATGAAAGGAGTTTTGGATAAAAAGTTTTGGAATTAAAGTTCAACTTGTTATTGCACTTTCCTATGGGTTTCAAACATCAGAACTAACCTCAGTTAAAATGTTTAATATATGTGAAAATAGATTAATTTCTTCTTCAAGCATAAAGATTACTTTATGCTAATAATTGAAAAGGAAATGAAAAAGGGAGATTTCTGTCAAAGATTAAGTGCATAAATTAAGTATAATTATTAAGAAACCTTGACAGCTGTGTGGATAATGACTGAATATATCTGATTGGACTGAACTAACTATATATACTGAACAAAAATATATTATGTCAAATATTGTTGCCATGCGGAGTTAACAACTGTAAATGAGTATTTGCTGATATTTTATTGTACAAAAGTAATATTTCTCTTGATTTATGTAATTTTTTTAATCCAACTTGCTGTCAGTGAGCATTACTCAGGGAGTTTTTTCTTACTCGGTACATGGGTGGGGCATGTCCAGTGGGTGATCAGACAAAATGAGCAACAACTGGACAATCCTTGGGGACTGGGGACAATAAAAGGCCGCCCCAAAATGTCACATCTGGTCACAAGTCATAATGCCACCGATGTCACAAGTTATGCCGGAGCGTGCCATTGGCATGTTGGATGCAGGGACGTCCACCAGAGCAGTAGCTGCACGGCCCAATGTCCATTAAACAGGTCGTTTAAGAGTTGGTTTCCAACAGACTGGCACTACTGCAAACTGACCTCATCCTTGTCAGCCACGTGTGACCACTCCAGCACAAGAACGCCACATCCGGCTCGCCCATCTGCGGGATCGGCTAAGACCAGTGACACACACAGCTGATGAAACTATTGGTCTGCACAACAGACACGTCAGACTGTCTGTAACCGCCTAGGAGAAACATCTGGGTCAAAATCTAATTCCTCAACCTGACCCTTCTGTTCAAAGGACTGGCAATCCATTACAAATGGATGTTATCAATGCCAATATGAAGATCAGTAATTGCTGAATTTATAGTTTGAGTCTCTCTATAGATTGCATAACCCAAATGTTCATAAAACTCACATTTGACATGAGGCATTTATATTTTTGTTCAGTGTATTCCTGGATATTAAAATAAATCTAATATTGAGAAAAGCATCTGAAAACCCACACTGGGTTTTAAATGTTTAGACGCCGTCTCTTTGTGCACGTGGCTGCTGGAATACTTACATTATCAGTAAAAACAACCCCAAGCTTCCAGATCTGATACTTCACATCGATGGAGTTGAGCCTGTTAGGAGGCAAGACAAGGTTGGCTGTTCTTTATACCCATAATAAATAATAAAGTATTTTATGTAATAAAATGTGAAATCTATGGGTAATACTGTTCTTGAATCTCTCACTAGGGCTTCAGTATGTATGATTCTAAGGAAGACAGTAAGGGAATGTGTTTCTTCTGTTGTTTTTCTGTAATATATTCAATAGTTCAATAAAGACATTGATGGAAAAAAAATTGAAATCAATGGACTGATGCCAATAACCATTTTAATAAGAGCTCTGTCCTAAACGTGTCTGTAAAGCTACTGAGTTTCCAAACATGGCTTCTAGTTTATTCAAAACTCCAGATCATTCCTTCTCTTAATGTCGGTTATTAAATTAAAATGAATTAAAATCAATTATATTACAGTCCAAATGGCAGAAAGTACATCTTCCTGTTTAAAGAATGTTAAATCGCAGAGTAATTGGTTTGCTGTAAGCAGGAAAAGCTTCAAACCTCCAGACTACATCATGTTAATTATTCATCAATATTTAGTTTTCATTTTCCTCCTCTTAAAAGGACACATACACACACTGTTGGAGTAAGACACTTACACAGCAGCCAGTGAACTGTCTTTCCTGGGTTTTCTTTTCTTGTGAGCATCACTGAAATCCAGAGCAGCCTTGTCCAACCCCAGCAGCTCACTGATGCGGTCATGGCCATAAAACTCCCCATACTTATCCATCACCTGCACAAGGTAAAAGACTGTATGAAAAAATGTCCAAAATTCATTCAGTTAAACTTCACAGCTTTGTGAACTCCTTTGCCTACCTTCCTCTTGACAAACTTATCCCAGTAGTTGTTGGGGAAGGATCTGAAAGGACAACATTTTTATGGAAGTGAAGAGAAGTGTAAGTGGTAAAAAAAGAAAAAGATGAATGCATATTAACAAATATTTTCTGACTCCTTTTGTTCCTGTTCTGATCCACTCACTGAGTGTTGATCACAAGTCTGTCCCACTGTCCTTTAATGTCGTCCTCAGATGGTTGCTCGGTGATGTAAAGACCATCAAATTCAAGCTTCCTGGCCACTTCCTTTTCACGTTTGAAGATTACCAGTGGAACCTACAGGAGCCGTACACAGTAATACAGGACCGCTATGTTCAAATTACTGAAATATCACTAAATGACTCCATGCATTCTGCTGGGTTTCCTTAGATAGAAACATTTTAAACTACTTTGAATAATTAACTGAGCATACTGTACTGTTTGATAACTAGGATCAGGTGGAATGTGTGTGATTGAGTTGGAATCATGTTTTTGTAAATTGCCTGGAGATGACATTGCTTGTGAACTGGGACTATAGAAATAAACTGAATTGAAATACACTGTTAACATGAGGAAATCCAAACCAAACGAGGCTTTTTTTTTTGCTGTGTTTCATAATCTTACCTTCAGACAGTAGTATCCGATGATGCAGAAGAAAGAAATGACGGTGTGGAGAACAGCTAGGATCCGCAACATGGGCTCCATGTATCCGCTGCTTTCCTCCAGAACAAAACGCACTGAGACCGGCTTCAGAGGCTCGCCCGTCTCATCCGACACCCGTTCGTTCGATTCCAGCCTTTCTCCAAGCAGTGGATCCCACTGGACACTGCTGTCTGCATGGCTGCTGCTGTGAGCAGCTTCCTTCTCTTCCACCAGGGAGGAAGAAGTAGAAACCTGGCAGGAACAAGTTAACTAGCTTTTTTCACAACAAAGCAACAACAACAACAAAAATACATTAAAAAAAGAAAGAGAATACTGTTTCCTTTTCAGGAGGGCTCTACAAGAAAACTATTTGCTCTTTAATTGCTCTTTGCAATTAAAGAGCAAATAATTTACAAACTAATAACTGCTTCAAACAACAGTCTGCTTTAGACAGTCTACATGTGGATAACAAAGTACAAAACCTAACCCAACAGTTTTGTGTAGTAATGCTGCGCTTTAAAGCATTCTGTAACACTGACACTCTTTAGCTATGGCCTGATTTTGTGACCCATGACCCCTGACCCAGGCTTCTATCCATGTCAGATGTTTGCAGATCATTTATTATCACCCTCAACTATTCAAAGCCTTTTTAACAGAAACAATTGACATAAATGTATTATAGCAACTGGAATAGAGGGCTAAAAGCATGAGTGTGTGTGTGTGTGTGTGTGTGTGTGTGTGTGTGTGTGTGTGTGTGCACAATGTTATTTTTGGGTTAGGTTTAAAACTGAGGTGTGAACTGAGTTTAGGGTTATACTGTAGAAATCAATGACAAATGAATGGAAGTCATTGTGAAGATACATTTGTGTGCATGTGTGTGTGTGTTCCTACCATACCCAGTTCCCCATTACCTTATAGAATAGAAGTATAAAATTAATTGCAAATGCAACAAGCAGGGCCAGCATCCTCATGTTGTAGAAGTTTCTGGCAAAGTAGTTCTGTAGGGACGACAGGAAGACAACGGCAGATTGATGATTCTGGAACAGATTTCTAACATGCTTCACATCATCTCATCTACTGACTGAATGAGAACATTCTAGTCCATACATGAAAGTATGAAACACTGAAGGTGGATCTGAACACCTGATATGAGCAGAAAGACCAGAAAGTGAAGGGCAGGACGGGGCAGAAAAGAACGGGATAGGAAGATGGGACAGGACAGTATGGGACAGGACAGTATGGGACAGGACAGTATGGGACAGGCCAGTACGGCACGGGACAAGATGGGACAGGACGGCACAGA